AAAATTAAACATATTTCATAAAACAATGAAGCACTATTATTACTAACTTAAGCTACTCTCTCTCTTTGTGAAGAAATCAACTCTAATGACACACATTTTTCTTAAAGGAATCAAATATTAAAGAAATACCTTAATATTTTCAATGTGATGATAGTATTGTGGTTACGCCTTCTTGAAATCCTTGTATTTTAGAGATGTATGATGATGTCTTTAAAGCTTAAATGATAGATTTGCTTCAAAAAAGGAAAGGATAAGGAATATAGAGACAATACTGGCAATGTGTTGATAATGTTGCATTGGGTATGGTTACATAGAGAATTCATTATAATATTCACTCTACTTTTGTATATGTTTTGGGAAGAAAAAGCAAACAATAGTTACATACATATACAACACATAGACTGCTGCCAATTTGAAGAAGCCCAACACTTAACATGTACTACAGAATACGACCAGAAATGCCTACATTTCTGACAGAATATTTTGGTGACTCTGAATTAAATCTAGTGAAATACTTAGATGTGATGCACTATAATTACCAATTTTTGTTTTCAAAGTTTACAAGTAAAAATGTGGACAGAGCTTTAGCTTTTCCTTTCCAAATAGTTTTCAGTGTCAATGAAAATATTTGTTAACATCCTGAAGATTTTAGAAAAGAACATTTAGTTCAATTACCTTCCTAAATTATTAAATCTTCACCAAACAGGGGGCATACTTGAATTTGATAAATTATAAAAGAAATCTCATTTTGGATATTATCAGAATCAGAGGTAAGTCAACAGTTAAATAATTTCATTTCTGGGTTGAGATTTACAATGTAAAAACCTCTTTTTGAAGTACAAAGTTCCTGTTATATTATACAAAAGATAATGAAGATTCTATACCAAACTTTAAAGTCCCCTGCAGGGCAGCCCTGCTGGCGGTTTAGCACCGCCTGCAGCCCGGGGTGTGATCCTGGAGACCCGGGATCGAGTCCCACATCGGGCTTCCTGCATAGAGCCTGCTTCTCCCTCTGCCTATGTCTCTGCCCCTCTCTCGCTCTCTCTGAATGAATAAATAAATAAATCTTTCAAATAAATAAATAAAGTCATAAACAAACAAACAAACAAAGTCCCATGCAAAGAATAAAAAATAGGGATCCCTGGGTGGTGCAGCGGTTTAGCGCCTGCTTTTAGCCCAGGGCGCAATCCTGGAGACCTGGGATCAAATCCCAGGTCAGGCTCCCGGTGCATGGAGCCTGCTTCTCCCTCTGCCTATGTCTCTGCCTCTCTCTCTGTGTGTGACTATCATAAGTAAATAAAAATAAAAATAAAAAAAATCTTTAAATAAAAAAAAAAGAATAAAAAATAGGGGGCACCTGGGTGGCTCAGTGGGTTAAGTGTCCAATTCTTGATTTTAGCTCAGGTCAAGATCTTAGGGTCGTGAGACAGAGTTCTGTGCTGCGCTCAGTGCTGGGCATGGAACCTGCTTAAGATTCTCTCTCCCCTCCTCTGCCTCTCCCTCCTCTCATAAATAATTTTTTGAGGGAGAAATTCCCTACAATCTATTCAGCTAATGTGAAAGCTATTTATTCATGCCTTCTCTGGCAAACACAGAAATATCCCCAAGTGGACACTAACTGAAAGGTACTCACAAGAAGTAGTTAAAAATCACATGCTTTCTTCTTTGCTGTGGACAGAGCAAATAAACTGCTTTATGCAAAAATATTAATCTCAAGGAAATGTAAAATATTAATAAACAAGGCAGTAAGATATATGAATGAATCCTTGCAATAGTATTAAAAGTAATTTGACTTTAAGGGCAGCCCGGGTGGCCCAGAGCGTGATCCTGGAGACCGGGGATCAAGTCCCACGTCGGGCTCCCTGCATGGAGCCTGCTTCTCCCTCTGCCTGTGTCTCTGCCTCTCTCCCTCCCTGTGTCTCATGAACAGATAAACAAAACCTTAAAAAATAAAATAAAAGTGATTTGACTTTAGCTGAAAACTTCCTCTCAAATCTGGCTGGAAAGGCCTGTAAAACCCCAGTAAAGCACTTTCCAAGATTCAACCAGGATAGTGGTTCCGTATATACACCATTACAAACAAAGGAAAAACCAATAATTAGCATCACCGAAGCATCCTTCACTTAAAATGAAGCCTCAAGTGCTACTAGCTCACAACTAAAAACCCAGGTGTGTCAGGAAACTGTAGTGCACAAGCTTTAGAATGCATAAGAGGCCATTTAAAGAAAATCCTGATTTCCGGAGCTTTCCCTCAGACCTACAGATCATAATCTCTTATGGATGAGGTACAGAAATCTGCATTTAAAACAAATTCCACAGGGATCCCTGGGTGGCGCAGCGGTTTGGCGCCTGCCTTTGGCCCAGGGCGCGATCCTGGAGACCCGGGATCAAATCCCACGTCAGGCTCCCGGTGCATGGAGCCTGCTTCTCCCTCTGCCTGTGTCTCTGCCTCTCTCTCTCTCTCTGTGACTATCATAAATAAATAAAAATTAAAAAAAAGGGATCCCTGGGTGGCGCAGTGGTTTAGCGCCTGCCTTTGGCCCAGGGCGTGATCCTGGAGATCCAGGATCGAGTCCCACGTCAGGCTCCCGGTGCACGGAGCCTGCTTCTCCCTCTGCCTATGTCTCTGCCTCTCTCCCTCTCTCTCTCTCTGTGACTATCATAAATAAATAAAAATTAAAAAAAAAATTAAAAAAAAAAAAATTAAAAAAAAAATAAAAAATAAAACAAATTCCACAAGTCAGTCACAGACTTCCAAGAAGTACCTTTACCACTAAGGTAAAGTTTCCGTTTCAATTGTTAAACAAAAGAACTTCACCCAGCCGAAATAGCTTTTCCCATCTAGTGCAAATGTAGCAAGGAAATTTTTCAAGATTAGAATAGGAATGTAAAAATATTTGGTAATATCAGGTTGCAGTGATCCTGAAACCTTTACGGTATATGCTAGGGTTGTCCATTCCTCCAAGATTTTACCACTAACAACCAACAGCATAAGACTATGCAAATAACCCGGAAATGATGCCCTGAGCTTCCACAGCTTTATTATACCCTGGAGTCATTCAGTCATAGTTAGACTAGGCCATGTGCTTTGTTCCAGGTCAATACCAACCTCCTCCTGCCACCCCACCCCCACCCCGAGACAGATGTGAATATGAAATCGGTAATTGACTTTTTCAAATACTTGAATAGAGAATGAAGTGCAACCTACCATTAAAGGCATAAGAGAAGGATTGTAGCTGAAATGATATAAGACCAAGTTGCTATTCCACAGCTCCACTGCTAACTGTAAACCCAGGTATAGAAAGCAATGTGGCAGTAAAATACAATCAGGAACACAAAGTTTCAAAACCAAGGAGGCATAGATGTTAGACTACTCCAATTGATGACCAGGCAATCAAAAGCAATTTTCTCTTTAATCCAAATGTCCTAAATTATAATGTTCTTTTTTTTGCAAGGCAAGATGGAAAGATTCCTAAGTAGTAAAAAAAAAAAAAAAAAAAAAAAAAAACAAAGCACCTGACTTCATTCTGACAAATGCCTAGAAAGAGGGTCAAAACAAGCAACAAAGTTACTCATCTTCCTATTTTAACAAGCAGGGAGAAAAACCCAATGTCAAAATACAAAAACAAACAAACAAAACCAACAGGAAAAGAAAGGCAGGCAGGCTTTCCAAAAGCTTCCCCTCTCTTGAGGTCAGTGACAGATGTGTGAATTTGACCGCACACAATAAATTCTACCATAATCCTTCACGCTATTTTGGAATCAAGCAACACTCCAATACAGCTTTAGCCACTATTTGTTAAGACATGGAAAGGACTCATGTAGCACCTGCTTATTTTCCTGCGTTGCAAAAGAGAAATTTTACTCTGACCAAAACCTACATCAAAAAAAAAAAAAAAAAAAAAAAAGAGTAAGCAACTAGCCTCTTAAAAAAGCCTATCTGTAGTATATACATTTTGATTAGTAACTGCCTTTAAATTACCATGTTGTTTGATTATAACCGCAAGCTAAACAAAATAAAAAATCTACGCCTGTTCTTCAAGTTGAGACTTAACATAACCATAACGCTCCGTATTCAAAACACTTGAAATGCACTGGCTTCCGCAGAGAGTCAGTTCGACAGAATTGTGGAAGGTGAACAAGACTACCAATATTGGGTTTAGTTCTGCCACTTAACTTGCCAAGAGACCTCGGGCAGCCTCTCAAGTCTCACCTGTGAAACCGGGTTTCTATTTACCCCTATTCAAAAGGTAAAGAAGGACCAAGTGAGTTTTGCTCTATCCAAGTATAACGAACACTTTTGTTAGTTTCAGGTGTACAATACAGTGATTCAACAATTCTTACGTTTCTCAGAGCTCATCAAGATACGTGTACTCTTATCGAAGGAGTGTTTTACGTGAAAGAAAAAGCCCTTGACAACCGCCTACATGAAGGGCTTCCTAAAACGTCCTGCACCCCCCCCCCCCCCGCCGACAGTATCTGTAAAATCATCACGGGAAACCTTACCTTCACGTTCCATGACCTCTTAAAAATCTAAATTTCCTCACGGAAGCGTCGAAATCGAACCATTACTGAAGGGATAAACAGGGTGCCGCGATTTTTACCAGCAACCCTGGCCAGGAATTTCGCTCTCAATACGACGCTCCACCCAAATAACGGAAGAATTTATCTTTTTTCCCCCCCGTTTCATAACGAGGCGAAAACTCCAGAGCCTCTGAAATGTAATAAATTCCTTTCCCGCGTTTCCCTGCCTCGTTAAGGTGCTCTTCGAGCGTGCCAAGGGCCCTCCTGGACTTCCCCAACACTAAAGCAACAACAACAACAACAAATCATCCTCATCCCCGGACCCGGGCGGGCTCCTCCCTCGCCGCCACAGGATCAGACAGTCGACCCCGCGCGGCCCGCGCCCCACACCGCGCCGCCGGCCGGCCGGGCCCCAGCCCGCGCCGCTCCCCTCCCCCACGGCGCCCGGGCACAGACCCAAGGCCCGCGGGACTTACACTCTCGTGGTCCCACCGCACGTTGCTGCGCTTCTCGTCCGGGGCGAGGTTTCGGTCCCGGCCCATTAACTCATCCAACAGTTGCGCGGCCGAAATCATGGTGCTTTCCTCGGGCGGCTGCTCCCACCAGCCCTGGCACCCGCCAAAGGAAACGCCGGCGACACGGTCGCCAACCCTTTCAGCCCGCTCGCAGGCCCAAAAGCCTCCTCTAAAGAGGAGCCGACAAGACAAAATGGCCGCCGCGCGGGCGCCTTCCCAGCATGCCGTGCGCGCGCGTGCGCCCGCGGGGACACGCCCAGGTCTGGGAGGTGAGCTCGAGCCCCGCTTCCGCCGGCCCGGGGGCGGGGCCTGTCGCCGCCGGGCTGGGATCCCGCCCCTGCCGGGTGGCACCGCCCTCCTCCGCGCTGGGCTGCGCCGAGGGCCGCGCGGTTCCGTGACGCTGCGCGCCTGCCTCGCCCGGCGCGCGCCGTCTCCGCGTTCTTTCACGCGGGGCGATGCGGGAGTCCGTGTAGAGATGAAGAAAGGGGGTAGGGTAGCCTTTGGTACCCCGCGGTGCGGTCGGTACCGTGGCCCGGGGGAGGAAGCTGAAGCTCGTGTGCACGCTCCTCCTGTGTCTGATCACGCCTCCTCTCCTGCCGGGCGCTCCTCCCCTCCCAGGTCCCCTGATTCACTGGGTGGGAGATGGAGCGGGAAGAGAGAGATCCTCTTTTTTTTCTTTTTTTTTTTTGTACTTATTCGAATTAATCGAGTTTTTTGTCTAACACTTTATTCATTAATGACAGACCCCGAGAGAGAGGCGGAGACACAGGCAGAGAGGGAGAAGCAGGCTCCCTCTGGGGAGCCCGATGCGGGACTCGATCCCAGGACCCCGGGACCACGACCTGCGCCAAACGCAGACGCTCAACCGCTGAGCCACCCAGTTTGTGTTTCAGCTGTTCATCTGTTGAACAATTGAGTATTTACCGTGTGCCAGGTAAGCCCTTGAAGGTTGAAGCTAAGTCCTTGCGCCCCAGACCTTGAGGATTCTTGACGGAGACAGTCGGTAAAGAAAATGAAATCTATCCATATAAATTGTGGTTAAGTTCTCCATCGCAGTGAAGGGTATGGACTCTAAAGCCAGATCAGCCTGCTTTGGTGATGATAATCCTGGCTCTGCCTCTCTGTGCCTTCTTTTTCCCATCTAGGAAATGGAACTTAGAATAGTGGCCCCGATAAAAAGAAATAACAGGGCCCAGATTGAAGTCACTGTTGAAAAAACCCCACTACAGGGACGCCTGGTGGCTCAGCGGTTGAGCGCCTGCCTTCAGCCCAGGGCGTGATCGTGGAGACCCGGGATCCAGTCCCACGTCGGGCTCCCTGCATGGAGCCTGCTTCTCCCCCTGCCTGTGTCTCTGCCTCTCTGTGTCTCTCATGAATAAATAAAATCTTAGAAGAAAAAAAAAGAACCCCCCCCCAATTACGACTTAATATGTAACCTAATTGCAGTTTTAGCCTCTCCCAGGAGAAGAATTTAAACCAGTAAATCGGGGATCCCTGGGTGGCGCAGCGGTTTGGCGCCTGCCTTTGGCCCAGGGCGAATCCCACGTCGGGCTCCCGGTGCATGGAGCCTGCTTCTCCCTCCGCCTGTGTCTCTGCCTCTCTCTCTCTCTCTCTCTCTCTCTCTCTGTGACTATCATAAATAAATAAAAATTAAATAAATAAAAAAAATAAATAAACCAGTAAATTTGGGAACACCTGGGTGGTTCATAGTTTAGCATCTGCCTTTGGCTCAGGTGGTGATCCTGAGTCCTGGGATCAGTCCCGCATCAGAGTCCCCACGGGGAGCCTGCTTCTCCCTCTATGTCTCTGCCTCTCTCTGTGTCTTTCATGAATAAATAAAATATTTTTTTTAATTTTTTTTATTTATTTATGATAGTCACACAGAGAGAGAGAGAGAGGCAGAGACACAGGCAGATGGAGAAGCAGGCTCCATGCACCGGGAGCCCGATGTGGGATTCGATCCCGGGCCTCCAGGATCGTGCCCCGGGCCAAAGGCAGGCGCTAAACCGCTGCGCCACCCAGGAATCCCTAAATAAAATATTTTTAAAAATAAACCAATAAATCTGGAATTTCCTGATTGGCACTAGTGAGGCAACCTTGCCTGAAACAGTCCAGTCTTTACTTCTTTGTCCCATTATTCTTCTACCTACAAAATCCTTTCATTTTGTATAGCACCTCAGAGTTGTCTACTTGCTGGATGGGAGTTTACTAGTTGAATTTTTTTTTTAACAGTCCCCTGCACAGGGTGGTATTGTGAAGATTAAATTAATTGATACAATGTATGGCATGTAGAACAGGCCCAACATATTTTAAGTTCATTTAATCATTTGTTATAATAAGGGGGGGAAAACAGGGTTCTGTTGAAGTGTAACAGAGAGGACTCTGGAAATTACTTTAGACCTAAAAGAAGGATTCAACCAAGCAAAGTGAAGAGAAAAGAATTCAAGGCAGGGAGAAGTAGCAAATATGAAGGCCATGTCATATGAAACAGTGTTCATCATTATTTCATATATACATAAGACTACAGGTCCTGGGTATGCAGGATGCCTGTTAGATGGCCTGAGGATGCCAAACATTCAAGAGACTCTGCTTTTGACTTAGGTAGAGAAGGAACCAGCAAAAGATACTGTGAAAGAGAAGCTGAAGAGGTAAAAGGAAAATCTGAAGACCATAGAGTCAGGGATGGCAAAACAAATAAACAACAAAAATAGAAATTGTTTTGGGGATCCCTGGGTGGCTCAGTGGTTTTGCACTGCCTTCAGCTCAGGGTGTGACCCTGGAGTCCCAGGATCGAGTCCCACATCAGGCTCTCTGCATGGAGCCTGCTTCTCCTTCTGCCTGTGTCTCTGACTCTCTCTGTCTTTCATGAATAAATAAATAAATAAAATCTTAAAAAAAAAAAAACTGTTTCAAGAAGATTGCAGAAAACTGTAGAAGGTCTAGTATGAAAAGACCCAAAGTATCCATTGGCTCTTAGAGTCAGAAGCCAGATTGGAGGGGCGCCTGGGTGACTAGTTCAGCTCAAGTCATGATCCCGGGGTCCTGGGATTGAGCCCTCCTTTTGGGCTCCCTGCACAGTGGGGAGTCTGTTTCTCCCTCTCCCTTTGCCCCTCCACCTCATTCATGCTCTATCACTCTCTCTCTCTCTCTCAAATAAAATCTAGAAAAAAAAGAAGCTAGATTGGAATGGATTGGAGAATGAAAGGGGAATTGGGAAATTAAATGGTGATTGGACAACTCATCTTAAGAAGGGAAGGAGTGTGGGGATCCCTGGGTGGCTCAGCGGTTTGGCACCTGCCTTCAGCCCAGGGTGTGGTCCTGGAGTCCCACACCAGGCTCCCTGCATGGAGCCTGCTTCTCCCTCTGCCTGTGTCTTTGTGTGTGTGTGTGTGTCTCTCTCTCTCTCTTTCTCTGTGTGTGTGTGTGTGTCTCTCATGAATAAATGAATAAAATCTTAAAAAAAAAAAAAAAAAGGAAAGGACTGAGGGGCACCTAGGTGGCTCCATCAGTTAAGTGCCTGACTATTTCAGCTCAGGTCATGATTTCAGGGCTTACCTGAGATTACGGTCATAAAATTGGAGCCCTGAGTTGCGCTCTGAGCTGAGCGGGGAGTTTGCTTGAGATTTCTCCTTTTTGATGTGCTCGTTCTCTCTCTCTCTCTCTCTAAAATAAATCATTAAAAAATATAAAAGAAGGGAAGGAATGAAATGGGATGAAAACTAAAATGAGGTATGGGCCAAAGGAAGCTTTTTCTTTTTAAGATATTATTTGTTTATTTGACACACAGACAGAGAGGGCACAAATAGGCAGACTGGCAGGCAGAGGGAGAGGGAGAAGCAGGCTCCTCACTAAGAAGAGAGCCTGATGCAGGTTAAAATCCCAGGAGCCTGGGATCATGACCTTAGGCAAAGGTAGACACTTAACCAACCGACAGAGCCACCCAGGTGCCTCAAGGGAGGCTTTTGTTTAATGGGAAATTAGGATATGTTTAATGTCAGAGGAAGAGGTGGAAGATGAAAGGTGTAAGGTGGTTATTTTTCAAGTTTTATTTTTATTTAAGTAATCTCTACATCCAGTGTGGGGCTTGAACTCTCAACCCTGAGTCAGCTGGGTGCCCCAAAAGTTGTAAGTTTTTAAGAAGGTGGTAGTAGAGCTCCTCTCTCTGCCTGATGGGATGCTGCCCGATTCATGAATCATTTAATAAAGCCGATTAGATCTTCAAATTTATTTTTTTTAAGATTTTATTTATTTATTAGAGCACGAACAAGGGGAGGAGCAAAGGGAAAGGGAGAAGCAGCCTTCTCTCTGAGCAGGATCCCAGAACCCTGAGATCACACACAACCTGAGCTGAAGGCAGATACTCAACTGACTGAGCCACCCAGGCGCCCCAGATCTTCAAACATAAAAAAAGAAGGATGGAAGGGTGATCTGGCTGCAACATCTGTCACCGCATTGATTGCCAGGGTTGATTGCCAGCTGATCTGGCCGGCTAGGTGGGTGTTACCTATCTGCCTCACCCTCACCACTCCTTGTGCATCTCCCCACCCTCAAAAGTTAAAAGCTTGGTCAAAGAGGACAGCCTTCCCCAATAGAGGAGGACCATGTTTCTGTCAAAGTTATATGAGTAGAGGGATGCCTGAGTGGCTCAGAGTTTGAGCATCTGCCTTTGGCTCAGGGCGTGATCCTGGGATCCAGAATCAAGTCCTACATCAGGGTCCCTGCATGGAGCCTGCTTCTCCCTCTGCCTGTGTCTCTGCCTCTCTCTCTCTCTGTGTCTCTCATGAATAAATAAATCTTTAAAAAAAAGATAAAGGTTATGTGAGTAGCTGTGCTCCCCTGTTGGAACCTCCCAAGCAAGTTCTCAAGGTCCATTTGTAGGAGAACATAGGGTAGTCAAGCTTTATTATTATTATTTTTTTATTATTATTTAAGATTTTAATTATTTGAGAGAGAGAGGGAAGGAGAGAGTACAAGCAGGAGGGGCAGAGGGAGAGGGAGAAGCAGAGCAGGGAGCCCGATGCAGGGCTTGATACCCAGACATCGAGATAATGACCTGAGCTGAAGGCAGACGCTTAACCGACTGAGCTACCCAGGTGCCCCAAGCTTTATTATTTTTTAAAAAGGAAAAATAAAAAAGAAGAGGAGGAAGAAGAAGATAATGGTTGTATAAGCTTCAGAGCATATTTGTAGCTATTGGCGTTTGCTACAAGAAAGGACCTTTCTCTTCTGAAACAAGAAAGACAAAAAGACACATCAGTTTGTAGATATAACAGTGAGATAAAAGTTTTCTCAGCTGATGGCTACTCTTTGCTCAATGAAGCACTTATTTTTCTTACAGATTTTATTTATTCATGAGACACACACACAGAGAGAGAGAGAGAGAGGCAGACACACGGGCAGAGGGAGAAGCAGAACCCTGGGATCACACTCTGAGTCGAAGGCAGACAGATGCTCAACCGCTGAGCCACCCAGGTGTCCCCTCAATGAAGCATTTTTTGAAGATTCACCAGTGCCACAACCACCAAAAAGGGGGAGAAAGTATACATCTCGAACCAGAGTTCTTATAAAACCTGAATGCAATGTTACAGCTTCTACTCACTAAAACTTTAAATCTAATTCCCTCATTCATTCCACAAACTTTACTGGTACATGTGCTCCATGCCAGGAACTGTACTCTGTGCCAGGAATTGGATTAGTGGCTGGGAATGCTAAGACAGTTGTATAAGACCCTTCTCCCAGGGAGCTCCTGATCAATGGAAGAAAAAAAGGAGCAATAACTTGAAATGAAGTGAAAATACTAAATGCTTTTGAATCTTATCCAGTCACACCCTCTACAAGTCTTACACTACAAGTCTCCTTTCCCTAGACTCAAGGGCAGACACAATTCCATGTGTATTACAACTACAGATAATGGATTCATTCATCTATCCTACATTAATTCAACCAGCACCAGTGTCATCTGTTTTCAGACTCTGCTGGGCATCAGGGACTGAGAAATGAAAATAGTCTTTATTAACATCACAATGCCTAGTTTACCATTAACTTCTACAGATTATATGAGTTGGTTGTTTCCTAATGATGAGAAGACAAGCAACTTAATCTTTTATCAGCCAGTGGTCTCCAGACCCCATTCCATACATGTTACTGATGGAAAGTACTAACTGACTGAATTGTGTCCCCTCCCCCCTCAAATTCATATGTTGAAATTCTAATCCTCAGTATCTCAGAATGTGACTATATTTGGAGATAGGCCCTTCATTTTTTTTTTTTAAGATTTTATTTATTTATGAAACACAGAGAGAGAGGCAAAGATACAGGCAGAGGAACAGGCAGGCTCCATGCAGGGAGCCCGATGTGGGACTCCCTCCGGAGACTCCAGGATCACACCCTGAGCCAAAGGCAGACGCTCAACCACTGAGCCACCCAGGCATCCCTGAGATAGGGCCTTTACAGTGGTGATGAATCAACTGGGTGGCTCAAATGGTTAAGCATCCAACTCTTGATCTCAGCTAGGGTCTTGATCTCATCTTAAGCTGGACGAGGAGCCTACTTAAAAAAAAAAGATGATTAAGTTAAAATGAGGCTACTGGGGAACAGAAGCATGGGCAAACTGATACAACTGGTGTCCTTATAAGAAAAGATTTGGACACACAAAGAGACACCAGGGAGGTATGCACACAGAGGGAGGACCATGCCAGGACATGGAGGGAAGAGGGCTACCTGCAAGCCAAGGATGGAGGCCTCAGGAGAAACCAAACCCATTGACACCTTGATCTGGGACTTTTCACTTCCAGAACTATAAGAAAATACATTTCTGTTGTTTAAACCACCCAGTCTGTGGTATTTCATTATGGCAGCTCTAGCAAGCTAACATAGAAAAAGAAATCATAGGGACACCTGGGTGGCTCAGTGGTTGAGCGTCTGCCTTTGGCTCAGGTCCTGATCCTGGGGTCCTGGGATGAAGTCTTACATGAGGTTCCCAAGAGGGAGCCTGCTTCTCCCTCTGCCTCTCTCTGTGTGTCTCGCATGAATAAATAAAAATCTTAAAAAAGAAAAAGAAAGAAAGAAAGAAATCACAATTACTATAGGTCTCCTAACTGCTTCCGGTTTCCATGACTCCATCCTCCATCTGCTTTGCTGCCTCAGTCATTTTGATAAATGTAAATCTGGTCATATCTCTTTCCTGCTCAAAACCCTTCAGTGGCTCCCCATTACCCCCAGTCTAAAATTCAAAAACCACAAGGTCACCCATGATCTGACCTGCCTCTAACTTCATCTGCTACTGGTTCCCCACACTGTGTAAGCCCCTGTTTCATACCACTGTACACTACGTCCTGCTGCTCCAGGCATGGGATGCTCTTCCCTCACTCCACCAACTACCACCCATATTTCTCAGCTCTATGAAGCCAACCTGGACCCTCCTTGTCCACCTGCCACACACAACCAAACACCCTCTTTTTGTGCCATGATTTTACCTTATACAGATTTGCACATTCTGGGGTCGACCACACTACATTGCAAATATGAGTCTTTCCCTTTATTTTTTTTAAAGATTTTATTTATTTTTTCATGACAGACACACACACACACACAGAGAGAGAGAGAGAGAGAGAGAGAGAGAGAGAGAGAGAGAGAAGCAGAGACACAGGCAGAGGGAGAAGCAGGCTCCATTTCATTCAGGGAGCCTGATGTGGGACCCGATCCCGGGTCCCCAGGATCACACCCAGGGCTGAAAGTGGTGCTAAACCGCTGGGCCACCAGGGCTGTCCGAGTCTTTCCCTTTAAAATGAGAGTTTTTTCGGTCATATGCCATGTCTTATTCATCCCTGTATTCCCAGATTCCTGCAGACTATATATGTAGGGAATAGCTCCTATTCACTCCTAACCACAGGAAAGACAGTCTGGCCGCCACCCCTACTGCTCCACGGCAGCTTCCTTCTCCAAGGTCACCAGCAGCACCACCTTGTGGCTAAATCCATTCTATACTTGTCAATCCTTTCTTGCTCTTTCTGCAGGATTTGACACTGTGGGTCATTCTCTTTGCTCCAAATGTTCCCCATTTCTTTCTTTTTCCTCCTATTTCAGCTGCTCCTTTTCAAGCTCATTTGTGGATTTTTTCTGTCCATCATTAAAACGTTGGTTGTTCTTTGGGGTTCTGTACTTGGCTGTCTTCTCTTGGTACTCAACACACTCTGGTGGCGCTGTCCCCTCTGTTCCCATGACTTCAGCTAGCACCTTTTACTGATGACTACCAAATTCAAATCACCCGTCCAGAACTACTTTCTAAATGCCATACCCATATACACAGCTCTTTATGGGCATCTCTACTTAACAGGAAAATCAGAAAAGAAGCATGGGCTATGGAATCAAACTGCTTGAGTTCAAAGCCTTGCTCTATTACTAACTAAGCTGTATGGTGTTGGGCAAGTTACCTCCCTGTGCCTCAGATAATAATGATGGTTCTAACTCATGGGGTCATTGGGAGAATTAAATGAGATAATCCAGGCACAACACTTAGCGTAGTACCTGGCAATGAGCCAATTAATTAATTAAAGGTCTTCAGAAGGCTCAGCTCAGCAGAATCAAAAGTGAATTCATCACCATACTTGAAACCTGTTCTTCCTTCTTTGACTCAAATCTCAGTAAATGGCACCATTATCTCCCCAGCCAGAGACCTGGGTGTTATCCTTCATGATCACACTGCCTTCCCAGTCTATCGGGGGCTCTTCCTTGACTGGACTTTGCCATCACATACCTACGATCTATTGAGCCTTTCCCATGTCCGGACCTTACACATTCGTTCAATCCGTAGAACAACCCAGCAAAGTAGGTGCTAATATTATCACCTCTATTTTGCAGATGCAGAATTTGAGGCACAGAAAGGTTAAGTAACTTACCTAAGAAGATATGAGTGCCAAAAGCTGGGATGCAAATCCATGCAGTCTGGTTTTAATCTTCATGCTCACAAATACTGTGCCATATGTCTGTACTACTTCTATTGTAATACTTATCACCTTCTATTGTTTGCCTCTCTCCCCTGCCAGACTGCATTCTTTGAAATTAGGGACTTCTGTTTGCAACAACACCTTCAGTGACTAGAATAGTGCCTAGAATAATATCCAGTGAGTTAGAGACCAAAGGAAGTATAAACAAATGAGGTAAAAGAATAGCCATCAGGTTGCATTCAGTTATGGCCAGGGTTAGAGGTTTTGTTTGCAGAGAAAACTTTTGTTGTTGTTGTTGTTTGTGTGTGTTTTAACGTGAGGATAACAAAAAGACTGGAGTCAAAGATAAGCAGAGGTCCAGTTTAAGAAGATATTAACATCCACTGATTTAACAGTTATTTTAGGGCACACGCTGTAATCCTTTTAAGGAAGGCTTCACAGACTTTGTCGTGCAGTCACTACCAATTTTTTAAAACTGCTTTTTTAAAAAAAGAGGCCACTACCTACTCCCGTGTCACTCAAATTATGTTAAAGGACCCAATTCCAGTGCGCAGCACGTCAGCCTCAGATGCAGTATCACGCTGGATCTGAGAATTAAAATTTAAATTGGGGGACATATAAAAATGTAAGCTCAAGCTGAGTTCCCATTTGCTTGGGGGTCAATGGAAGTGCGCAGTCGGTTTATAGTCGGCACCACCTGGTGTGCACTGAGTACTGTGCGAATGACTGTGTCAGAATAAACAGACATGGGTTTTTCTTAAACAGTAGCAAGAAAAATGCTTGTCATGCAGATCCTGGGCAGCCCCAAGAGAGGGAAATGAAAACTCCATGCCTACATTCGTCCCTTCCTAGTTCATCTCCTCCCTTTGTTCAGGCCTTTCTCCTATCCACCCCAGGGTGGTTTCCTTAGTCCTCCCGACTCCATCCGCAAGGTTCCATCCTGTGCAACACTGGAAGACCTCTCCGAGGCACCTGGGCTCAGCAAAACAATATTCTGTTTTCCTCCCACGGTGTGTGTGGGGGGGTGGGGGTGGGGGGCGCAAACCAGTGCCAACCCAGGCTCTGAGGTCGATCATGCAGGAGTCGGGCAAAATGCTGTGTATGTACAGCCTCCGTGGTGCTTTTCTTCACGCTCTTCTATCCTTACATGGCCTTCACGAAGAGTCCTTAATCATCACGTACAAGCAGTAGGAAATCACAGCCTATAGACTCCCAGGCACAATATACATATTCCCCTGAAAGCCAAAATCAGAAGACCTCTCTAAAATGAGCCGTAAAACAACAGCGATATTCGAACCGGACGGTCCCAGCACCGTCAAGAGAAGAAAGAGCAGTGTGATGTCTCCGCAACTGCGGGCGGAGACTAGGAGGATCGTTTTCAGCCCGTTTCCCCATCCTGCTGGGCAGGAGTCGGCTCAGATAAGGAAAAAGAGCCCAGCAGACGTGGGTGGTGAAAAACACCAGTTATCATTATTATTATTATTATTATTATTATTATCTTTGAGGCCTCGGCCCGCAGCCTGCGCTGGGATGAGGCTTCCCCGCGCGCGCCGCCCTCCTCCCCCGAGCCGCGGGGCGGGGAGCGCTAAGAATAGCGCATGAATCCCGGCGGGGCCGGTCGGTGCGGCGCTTACATAAGCAGCCGGCCGGGCGCCGCGGCCCAGGGTAGGAACGGAAACCATCCGGGTCGGGGTTGTCACTGCGAATAGGGTCCCCCGGAGGCGGCCGGCAGGAGGCGCGGCCGGGGCGGAGGCTGGGGCCCGCGGCCGGGAGCAGCCGGGGGGCGGCGGCGGCGGCGGCGGCGGCGGCGGCGGCGGCGGCGGCGGCGGCGGGCGGGAGCAGCAGCCCCGGGCCGGGCGCCAGCAGGGCGGGCGAGCCCCGCGCTCTCCGCATGGCGGGGAGCGGGCCGCGGCGGCGGCGGCGCTGACGGGCCCGGGGCGGGGCGGGGCGGGGCGGGGCGGCCGGGCGGGGGCCTGGGCCCGAGGGGAAGATGAGCGCGCTCCTAGAGCAGAAGGAGCAGCAGGAGAGGCTGCGGGAGGCCGCGGCCTTGGGGGACATTCGGGAGGTGCAGAAACTGGTGGAGAGCGGGGTGGATGTGAACTCCCAAAACGAGGTCAACGGCTGGTAAGTGGGGAGCGGGGGAGGCCCAGGTCAGAGCAGCGGGCCGGGGGGAGGGGCGCCCCTGCCGCCGAGGCCCGGCGCTGCCCGCGGACGCCCGCGGAGGCGTGGCCGGGCGCCGGGGCCTCGGAGGCCTGCGCTCGCGAGGCCAGCCCGGGCTCCCCCTCCCCGCCGCCCCCCTGCGCGGTGCCGCCGCCCGCGCGGCCCTCCCCAGCCCCCGCCCACGTGGTCCTCCCGGGCAGCGCCCCCCGCCGGGCCTGCCCCCCCCTCCCCTCCGCACCCCGCTGGCTCGCCGGGCCGGAGGGAGCCCTGCCGGCTGCGATTCGATTGATCCCGCACGCTCGTTCGTATGGCGCGCACCCCAGTTCCGGGGGTTGAATTATTTTGCCGCAGGAGCTTCTGGAGAACACACCTGTGCACAGCAGAAAAAAAAAAAAAAAAAAAAAAAGCATTTAAGCAACCGAGCAACTATGAATCCTATAAATTAGCACGGTTTCTTTTCCCAAGACCGGAGGAAAAAAAAAATCACTCGCATCACTCTTGTGTCTCTCTCTCTGTGGTCTCACTGCACCAGTGATTTGCAGCTGCCTGTGGAAGGCTGACTTACTCGGTCCCCCGGAGTGTTTTTGCTTTATTTCCTTATTACATTTTACGTATAGAATTTGAATCCAGACTCTCGATGTTTGCCTGCAGACTGAGTCCTTCCCGACTAAAGGAGTCCCCATCTTAGGATGTGCTGGTCAAATTTTTAGTGTTAAGTTACCGAATGTGGTGTTATTCTGTCCTCTTCACACTTCATTTTTGGAGTTCTATTTGAGCCAAGCCGTGCTTAACCTGAGGCCTCTTTTTGCTAGCTTAAAGTGAGTTTGGAAAGGTTTTATTTTTTAGAAGTGGAATCCTACATTTTGGAATGGAGAGGGACATTGGAGATGGCTCCAACTGCAGAGAATAATAACCAGCGCTAACTAAGGTCACACAGCTATTGACAGGCTAACCAGAACCACAACCGTGGTTTCCTGGCTCGCTTGTAGACTTACCTACCTCCTAAGGAAAACAGCCTAGATAGCTATCCAGAAGGCCAGGAAACAGTGGCCTGCTGCCTTTTGGTTTTGTTTTCCTTAAAAGTGTTTGCAAACAAGCTTGCTGCTCTGTGTGTACCTTTTCTGAGCATTGCTCTGTGGTTTACAAGCTGTGACTCACTGTTTTGGCAGTGGGAGGCAGTGTTGTGTAGAAGGAGTCCAGTCTTTCCAGCAGGTTCTTCACCCTTCCCTGCTTTAGCTAATACAAGCTTGCCTGGGTAACTTCATTTCCCAGTCATTTCCCAGTCACCCTTCCCTGCTTTAGCTAATACAAGCTTGCCTGGGTAACTTCATTTCCCAGTCACAAGAGTGTTGTGAGCAAGTTAGGAGAAGAAGCATAGTATGAATCGCTAACATGTATTGAGTTTGCTCTTGACGTAAACAAGGCTCTGAGAGCTGAGCCTTATTATCTCATTCACAACTACTCGAGAACAGAGATGTTACTCTCTCTGTTGTATGGATGGGGAAACCGAGGCCCGGCAAGATTAAGTAATTTCCCCAAGGTCATAGGATTTACTGAAAAGGAAGCCAGCATCTGACTCCAGACCCTACTTTCCTAACCACAGTGCCAGCCACGTTGCAATAGGTGTTTGGTATTTGTAAGTTGAATCTGAAGCAACCTGAAGAGGCTTCTCCTCAATCGGAGAAGATGTCTGTTAGGCACCTCATGTTGGAGGTTCAAGCTTGCATTCGTGATCTCCCCTCATCCCCCTAATTGCCCCAGGCCTGCTCCTCTGAGGCCTACTCAACTCGGGGTCTGGGGTGCTCAGACCAGAGACGATGGTGCCCTGATGGTGTCCTTGCCTCCTGTCTCCCTCATATTCCACATCCAGCCAGTCAGCTAATTCTGTCAGCCTCATTTACAACTGTAGTTAGAATCTTAACACTTCTCATTAGCTCTACCTCTACACCTATGGTACACAGCCACCATCGTCCTGTTGCTTGGATTCTCGCTGCAGCCCCCCGACTAGTCTCCTTGCTTCTACCCTTCCACCCTGCAATCTTCTCAGCACAGCAACCAGAGGGATCCCAACATAAAACATAAATCGTCAGTCGGATCCTTTCACTCTGCTCAGAACCCTCTAGTGGTCACCATCCCACTCTGAGGAAAAGCCTGCAGTACTGGAGTTTCTACTTCCTGTCCCTACTGCTCTCCCTCCTTACCTCTATGTCTCATCTCTGTGTTTGCCTCCTTGCTCCCCTGGCCTCCTGGCTTTTCCTGGAACACCAGGCTCCATCCTGATTCAAGGCCTCTGTGGTTTTTCTTCCCTCTTAAGTCTAAAATGCTTTTACTCCCTCACCTCCTTTAGGTCTTAGTGTAGATAGGTTGGTGAGCCTTTCCTGGACCCTTGATTTAAGATGGCACCATGCCCCTGCCCTGCCTCTAGCATTCCCAAGTCCCTTCCCTTTATTGTCTGTGTAATGCTTAATCACCACCTGGCATATTATTGGTTTGGCTTATTTATTTGCTGACTGTCTCTGTTTCCTCTTCCATAAAATGGGAGGAATATTGAAAATAACATTAACTCATGGGCTTTTCAGAGATTGAATGAGTTAATGTATGTGAAGCCTTTAGAACAGTGTCCCCCATGTAAAAAAGCATTATATCTGTGTTAATTATTATTTTCTTCTTATTAAGCAGTGCGCTAGCTAATGGGATACAAAGGTTACCCTCAAATTTAATCTCTAGCATAGATAAGCGGAATGGTTACTGCTTTCAATCTGTAGTTGCTCAATAACCACAATTTCAGCACTGATGAATGATACCCAGTGCCTCTGGTCTGAAATACTTCCCAGGGCTAACTGGATATACTGACTGCAAATTTAAAGCCTGAAGAGTTGAAGTTCAGAGATAGAATTCCCACATCAGTTGTAACTCAAGTGTGTGCAAACCCCTTGGCTTTAAGAAACAAGTAAAATGGCTGGTGAAGAAGTTGAAAATGCTTCCTGGCTGAGTTATGGCTGCCCAGAGCCACACAGGTCTGGGCTGTAAATGATGATCACTCAGGGCGTGGGGTTGTGGAGATCGTTCCGTGTTGACTTAACCCCACTTTACATGGTGATGCTTTAGCTAGTTGGTTTTCCCAGAGTGTCTCAGACCCGCTGGCAGTAAATTACCTTCTTCAGTCTCAAGCTTGTCATGAACAAGTGATTTACTATCAGCGAGTGAGTACTTTATTTCCAAAAGGGAACATACTTTTCTCATCATGATCCATTCATTTTTGAATGCTAGCTTATCATTATAATTACTCACTTTTCAAGCCTGTGCCACAGATACACACACGTACTCTTTCGCTCTGTCTCTCTCTCAGCTGCAGTTTGCCCACAATCAAGGATGTTTGGATCCTTCCACTCTGAGCAATGTCCACCTTGTTCTTGGTTCATTTGTTCAGCGATTAAGTACCTATATGTCCAAGCAGACACTTCCTTATCTTCATGAGCTTGTATTTCAGAAGTTGAGATCAAGCCTCTTCCCTTATTTCTCCCAAATTGGCAATCTTTTCTTCATACGGTTTACCTTAAAGGTACCCGGGTAACCTAATTCTAATGAATAATAGTGTGGAATATCACTCTGAAGTATCAGTGGAGTGGTTCCCAGCCAGCCAGACAGGCTCGCTTTCTGCAGTCAAATGCTCTGCCACTGAGCTATACCCCCTAGGCTCGCTTTCTGTAAGTCAGAAATGTTTAGGAGGCCAGGGCAAATCAACGTCTCCTTGGAACCAAATGAACTTTCTGGATAGTTAATACTTCCAGGTTGGTGACCTATCCCTCAGTACTGAACACATCATTCTGTTCTTTACTATATTGTATTTGGCCATAAACTGAAGATACTTACCTCCGTTAGAGAATTGATGAGTGAGGACATTTCAGAACAGAGGGGAAAAATATTTTCCTTCTACAATAATCGTTCAGCTTTGGCAACTGGGGATGAATTTAGTAACTTTGAATCCTTTCATTTCTGTTAAGATGGAGTTTTTAACCAGCATGCTAATTACATTGCTATGCAGTGTTAAAATAATAGCCCTTCAGAGTGTGCAGAATTCCTTCCTATGTATACAATAGTAAATAATTAGTTTTACTTAAATGAGTCTAATATGTTAGAACAGCTTCTTCTTGAAAATTTTGGTCATTGATGTACATTTTTCAAGTGCCTTAGGAATTAAAGTCTGTGTGCCGTGCCTTACACTTAAGCAGATGAGCCTTCTGGAGGGGACTAGAGGAGCCAACTTTTTCAAAAATGGAAATTTCAAAACCTTGTGTGTGTGTGTGTGTGTGTGTGTGTGTGAAGGAAAGAAAAGGCAAAGAGTGAGCAACTGAGATTCATCTGAGAATATCTACTATAGCAATAATAATTTCAGCAGCAGAGCAAGCTGTAGATGATTATTAGCCTGATGATATTTAATCTTCGTGTGTCATTTGATGCATATGGAGCAAGTTACTATTTTTCCTGAAAAGGAATGTGGCACTCTAAAAATAAAAACATTTTAAGGAGACTGGGACAATCTAATGAACATTACTGATGGAAAACCACTCAGCAGTACCAGTAGAGGTAGCTGGCCGGTGGAATCCCCTGGAAGCCATTGAAACGAAAGCACCTTGAATAAATTGGTTTTTCCCAAGGGCCTGGAATGAAATTTAGAAATAAATTTCAAGCATACTAAATATTTTGATCATCTGCTTTATGAAAAGAAAAGCTGAGGTTGCCAGCCTGGCTTCCTGGTTCTGGCTGAACTCTTAATGGGCTTGCATATATTTCTTGACTAGCATATGGAATTTGAAATCCCAAACCACCTCTCCTTGGTTAACTCTGTTTTTTTTTTTTTTTTTTTTTTTTTTTCCTTTTCTGCGGACAGGACCTGTTTACACTGGGCATGTAAACGCAATCATGGTCAGGTGGTCTCTTACTTATTACAATCAGGAGCTGACAAAGAGATTCTTACAACAAAAGGAGAAATGCCAGTCCAACTGACATCAAGGAGGGAAATTAGGAAGATCATGGGAGGTGAGTCTGTGTTTGGGGGCAACTTTTGATTTTGTCAAACTAATTTCAGACTTGCAGTATTATCGGCTGTGTTCTTTTTTTTTTTTTTAAGATTTTATTTATTTATTTGAGAGAGTGAGAGAGCATGATTAAGGGGAGGGCATAGGAAGGAGTAGACTCCCCACTGAGCAGGGAGCCCCATGTGGGACTCATTCTAGGACTCCGGGATTATGACCTCAGCCCAAGGCAGACGCTGAACCGACTGAGCCACCCAGGCCCCCTACTGGCTACACTCTTGATGGCAGTCAAACCACAAATAAATTTTTTAAAATTTATTTTTCTTTATTTTTTTCTTTATTTCTTTATGATATAAATACATTTTTAAAAGCAAAAGTAATATTACTGTGCCAAGACAGTAATTCCATGTGATTTCCAGGCAGGTAGGCATTTTCAGGTTTTATATTTTTTATCTGTGAAACTTAAGGTGGCAAAAATGGTAATCACAAACTTTGATGAAACAGTCCTTTCTCTTCTGATTCGAAGAGGCATATGAACAAAATATGTCATATACCAAAGAACACTAGCTTTCACAAGACACTCTTTTCTGGGTGATCTTTAAAGGGCCGTGTAAATGCTCTGTGTTCTCTTCTTTGTAAGTGGAAGAAGACGATGGTGCCGACAGCCTCCCCCAGCTAAAGAAGGAGTCAGAAATGCCCTTTGTTCCCAACTACTTGGCCAACCCAGCCTTCCCTTTTATCTACACCCCTGCGGCAGAGGATCCAGGCCAGCTACAGAATGGGGGCCCCTCCACACCACCGGCATCACCCCCTGCAGATGGCTCTCCTCCATTGCTCCCCACAGGGGAGGCTCCCCCGGCGGGGGCCTTTCCACGGGACCACACCTCTTTGGCTCTGGTTCAGAACCGGGATGTGTCTGCCCCCTCTGCCATACTCAGAACACCAGAAAGCACCAAACCGGGTCCTGTCTGTCAGCCACCAGTGAGTCAGAGCCGCTCGCTGTTCTCTTCTGTCCCGTCCAAGCCGCCAGTGTCTCTGGAGCCTCAAAATGGGACCTATACAGGCCCGACGCCAGCATTCCAGCCATTCTTCTTCACAGGGGCATTTCCATTTAACATGCAAGGTAAGCCTGCTGCAGTCTGCGGCTGTCCAGAGGTTTCCTGCTGTACCTCCTGGGTGGTGGAGGGGAGGAGGGTGTTGGGTAGTGTCAGTAGGGTGGGATTTATTTATGTACAGAAATCTATTCACAATCTTACAGAAATTTTGCAAGACTTGTATGAGGAGCTCTCTTTACTCTGATTCACAAATTGTTTACCTTTTGCCCTTTTGCCTTGAAATAGTTAAGTGTATATTTCCTAAGAACAAGGATGGTCTCTCTTACATAACCACAGTCCGATGATCAAATTTAGGAAATTTGCTATAATACCATTCTCCAATCCAGGCCATTTTTAGATATTGTCAGTTGTCTCCATGGTGCTCTCTGCACTGCCTCTACCCCTCCCTCCTGCCCCCAGCCCCCAGCCCCCAGCCCCTCCTGGGATTACCCGTTGCATTTAGCTATCCTGTTGTTCCCTTCTCCTTTCACCTGGAAGGTTTCTCAGCCTTTCTCTATCATTTTGGACCTCTAGTTTTGAAGAGTCCAGTCCAGGTATTGTGTAGAATATGATCCTCTATCACTTTTCTCTATGTACTAGTTGGTATTCTACTGTAAACAGGGGCCTCCCCTTCTCCTCCATGTATATCAGTATGAACTTGTAGATTCTTTTTTTTTTTTTTAAGATTTTATTTATTCATGAGAGACACACAGAGAGGTGCAGAGGTGCAGAGGGAGAAACAAGCTCCCTCTGAGGAGCCCAATGCGGGACTTGATCCCAGCCAACCACTGAGCCACTCAGGTGCCCCTCATAGATTCTTTACATTAGGTTATAATGCGTTATTATCATTATCTTTTTTTTTTAAGATTTTATTTATTTATCTGAAAGAGAGCATGAGTGAGAGAACACAGCAGGGGGAGAGGGAGAGGGAGAAGCAGACTCCCCTGCTGAGCAGAAAGCCTAATGCAAGGCTCGATTCCAAGACCCTGGGATCTTGACCTGAGCCGAAGACTTAACCAACTGAGCCCCCCAGGCACCCGCATTACTGTCATTATCTTGATGTTCAAATTATGCCAGATCTGTCCAGAGGGAACCCCTTCAAGCCAGTTCCCATGTCGCTTGGATGTGTCCCATCATTCTTGGAGCATTTCCTTACTTTCTAGTCCAGGAAGAGGGTCCAGGCTCCTACTGTTACCTCCCTCGCCCCAGCCCTGGAGTCAGCCATTTCTCTAAGAAGTCCTGTTCTTTCAGATGAGAGTGGTGTTCAGGTACTAGGATCTGGACACTGGGTACACGTATACTCCAGGTGTGTCATGTCTTCTAGGTCTACATGGAGGACAGAGCCAGGAAAGAAAGGAAGAAAAAAGCAAACAGACAAATATATGCACATTCATATATACACTTTTTCCTACATTTCTGTATCTATTTATCTTTTTTTTAAGATTTTATTTATTTATGTATTTATTCACGAGAGACACAGAAAGAGAGAGAGAGAGAGGCAGAGACATAGGCAGAGGGAGAAGCGGGCTCCATGCAGGGAGACCCATGTGAGACTCGATTCCAGCTCCCGGGCTCACTGAGCCAAAGGCAGATGCTCAACTGTTGAGTCATTCAAGCGTCCTGTATCTATCTTTCTTTTTTTTTTTTATTTTTTATTTTTTTACTTTTTTTTGTCCTGTATCTATCTTTATAAAAATATTAAAAAACATAAGTTCATCCAGATACCTCCAATTCTATCAGACACCACAAGGTACAGGCCAGTCTTACCTTCACTTTTTCCACATAAGTCACCCCGTCCTTTTCTGGTTTGGAGGACCTGCTACTCTAGGCGCTGGTGACAGTGGCCTAGGCATGCTATGAGGGACTCGTACATAAGGAGCAAAGCAGAACCACCAAACCCACCTAGGCACTTAACTTGGGCCATTTTGGCAGCCAGGCTCAGAATTTGGGGGCAGACTGCTTAGATCCCAGACCCTGAATGAAGTGCACAGATTGCTTCCGTGTGGAGGTATCCTGCATTCAGATCATAGATAGACTGTCTTTTTCTTTTTCTTTCTTTTTTTTTTTTTTTTTTAGATTTTATTTATTCATGAGAGACACACACACAGAGAGAGAGGCAGAGACACAGGCAGAGGGAGGAGAAGCAGGTTCCACACAGGGAGCCTGACATGGGACTCGATCCCGGGTCTCCAGGATCAGGCCCTGGGCTGAAGCAGCACTAAACCGCTGAGCCACCAGGGCTGCCCTAGACTGTCTTTTTCATACTAGTAAGTTACCTTTCTGCTCTCTCACTGTATTGACTGCCAGGAGGTTCATCTTTCATAAATACACTTAGAGTCACAGTCATTATGTTCTCATAGAGTCACTCCTCTCCCATATCTTATGTGTGCCTTTTCTTCAGCTCTCTTCCCATTCCCTGCTCATGTGTGGTTTGATTCTCAAATCCATTCGTGTGCCTTTATGTCACCTCCAGTAGCAGAAGCAAATTGTCCTTCTACACGCTGGATGATTGTCTCTCCCAGCCCCTGCCCTTACACAACCCCCTTTTATTCTGTGAACCCTGTCTTTGACATAGTGAAGACAGTGCAGGAAACCGCTGGCAGAGTCAGAAATGGGGTTGAGCTCACCCCACTGAAGGAGCTGGGTTTTCTCATTGAGAGGTACAGCCTTCGGCACAGGGCATGATTATGTATGATCATCTTCTGGAAAAGATATTAAATTACATTGGCTGACTGTGTAGGAACCATCCATTAGCATTTCTCTCTCCTTTTTTCTAGAGCTGGTACTCAAGGTGAGGATTCAGAACCCATCTCTTCGAGAAAATGATTTCATTGAAATTGAACTGGACCGGCAGGAGCTCACCTATCAAGAATTGCTCAGAGTGAGCTGCTGTGAGCTGGGGGTTAATCCAGACCAAGTGGAGAAGATCAGAAAGTTACCCAATACCCTGGTAAGAAAGGTAAGAACGGTCTGTTAAGCATGTGTGGTTGGTAGCTTTTTTGCATTTTGGAAAATAGCCAGTTTCCTCCTTGGCTGTATGAATCATAGTTGAGAACTGAAAAGAGACCAGAAAAGGAGCAAAGGGTGGTTTTCCAGACACTATCACTGAGCTTTTCTTTCCCTCTACTAGGTCTACTCGGACATGACATTTTTGAAAGTTGTAGGTGCCCGAGAGAATTTCCTGAGCTGCCACTCACATGTACCTATTTTTGGTTGTTTGTGTAGTGACATGTAAGGATTACTTAGTGTACCAGCAGATAAGCCCCATGTTAAGAACCAGGTTAAATTACAGGGCAAACCCACATGGATACATGTGTGGGCCTGCCAACATCTGTGGTTTTCAGGGCACCTGGGAAAACTGATCTAAATGGCCTCTCGCTTCGGGGGGTGCTTATCCTAGGGCAGCTGCTGTTAAGGGTTCCTGCGCCCTGCCGACCAACTCACACCCCTGGGGAACTTCCTGCACTGTCTACTCTCAGTGACATTGTGCCATAGGGGTCTTCTTCTCCTTCCTCTTCTTCCTCCTCTTCCCCCCACCCTCGTCCCCTACTTCCTTGCCTTCTTCCCCTCCTCCTTCCCCCATCTCCCTCTCCTCCCCTCTCCTCCCTCCTCCTTCCCCCATTTCTCCCCCTTCTCTTCCTCCTCCCCCACTTCTTCTTCCTTCCTCTCTGTCCTCCTACCTCCCCCTTTCCCCCTCCTCTTCCTACTCTTGCTCCTTTTTTTTTTTTAAATATTTTTTTTCTTTATTTATGATAGTCAGAGAGAGAGAGAGAGAGAGAGAGAGAGAGGGAGGCAGAGACACAGGCAGAGGGAGAAGCAGGCTCCATGCACCGGGAGCCCGACGTGGGATTCGATCCAGGGTCTCCAGGATCGCGCCCTGGGCCAAAGGCAGGCGCCAAACCACTGCGCCACCCAGGGATCCCCCTACTCTTGCTCCTTATACTAGTAAGCTGCCTTTGGGGCTTTAAAATGAGCTGAGATACTGGTATGGACACAACACACCAAACACATAGAAACAAGTGATGACTCCTAATCTGTTTAATCTATTTTGTTTTAGGACAAAGATGTCGCTCGACTCCAAGACTTTCAGGAGTTGGAATTGGTTCTAATGATAAGTGAAAACAATTTTCTGTTCAGAAATGCTGCATCCACACTGACTGAAAGACCTTGCTACAACAGGAGGGCTTCCAAACTGACTTATTGACACAGTGGGGACTTTTATCGCTGAGAGTACTGTGACAGTGTGCAGCACCTCTGGGCCAAGGCCAAGCCATGGATCTGAATGCCTTGGGCTCCCGGGAGGGCCCCGGTGCCACTGTGTAGTGTACACTAACATGGTTCTGCCAAGGTAGGAAGCCCCTGACACCCACCCCACCCCCCAGCAGCGGTGCCACTCCTCCAAGCCTCTTGGTGCACAATAAACCGATTGCTTGAAGCTGCAAAGAGCTGAGAAGTGGTCTGGAGAGGCAGAAGCTGGCAGTTCTGAATCCCCTGTCTCATGTGCCCCGAGTATGTGAGTGGCCCCAGCAGATGAGAGAGAGCAGAGCAGGCCTCTTACAGCCACGCCTGTAAGGTGCACCTGCAGGGCGGGCCTGGGCCTGCTCTATGGGTGGTGCACCCTTGTGCCTCTGCACCCTGGGCCAGCTGCAGAGGAAACTGGGGAAAGCACAGGTACCGGGCAGAGACTTTTCGTGTGACTAGTGGCTGTGAAGTTTCACATAACATATTTATACACGTTACTCAGGTTCAAAGTATTTAAGAATACAGTTACCTAGTTGTAAGTCCGCTGTTAACCAAAAGAGCTGCCCCTACCCCCGCTACCCCTTTAATCCTTTTTGAGTGCTCACCCGCTTCTCTGGTCCACTATTGCCTGGACAGTCATCGCTGCATTAACTATGTGGCCACTAGAGGGCTCTCTGATGCTTTCCAGAAGAACAACAGCTATTTTTTTTTTTTCCCCTTTTTTTTCTTTTTTTTCCTTTCAATCTCTGAAGCGGTTCCTGTCCTCTCCATGTTTTCATCGCACTGTCTGAGAAGAGCACAAACATCACCAGGTCCGTATTCTCCACTTTCATTTCCCACCAGAAATGAAGAGCATTTTTTGAAACCGAGCCTGTTGCTGTTTTTAAGGTTATTGTGGGAAACCTGACCTAAGGGAGTTAGCCTCTTTATTTTTGTATCAAAGATAAAGGTTATTTTGAAATTATCAGGATTTTTACACAACCCTGAAATCTGTTGCTTTTGTAAACAAAGTATTTCCCCCACCACCACCACGACAGGTCCACTTCACAAAGTCAGTTGTGAGCTTACCAGGCTTTGTTCAGGAAGACACCTGATGAAGACTCTTGAGCCTGGCCTACGAGTTTTGTTTTGTTTTGTTTTTTGTTTTTTTAAAGAGTGCATTCAAGAATTCTTCTCCTTTTCCTCGGTGTCATTAATGTTAGAGGAGCCACTGTCTTGTTGAAACAAACAGCTCAACTTTAGAAATAAGATCGAGCACACTTAGACGAACAGGAGGGCAGGGGTTCGAAGCCAGCTGTTGAAGAGCATCCCTGCTGTCTTAAGAAGCGTTTTCCCCATAGTGCCTATAGTTTCCAAAGAGACTTAACTTCCTAACTGTGTTAATTTTATTGGAACACTGCAACCGATGGAGCGAGAACACACAGAAGGCGTCAACGGAAGAGAATGTTGTGCTAAGCTAATGGCCTCCTGCGGTTGCCTCAGTGCTGAGCTGACGTGGAGGTGTTTTCAAGGCCAGCTTCCTGGAGTCACTCTGTTCTGTGACTTCACCGTCCTCCACCAATTACCCGATGGTGACTTACCCTTGCATGGTGTTGGCATCACCGAGGAAAGGTTACTTATCATCCCTTCTCTGAAAGGCTTTGAAGAGGAAACCTCCCTTGTGTTTCAAGCAACCAGAAGCTAGTTTACCTAAATACACTAACCTTTTTTCCTTCCCTTTGGAAAAAGTTAACAACGTACTGATAACATGAAGGCTAGTTCCATCCTGAAGGAAATAAGTCCAGTATTAATTTATGTGTAAATCACTGGGGTTAAACTCTTCTAGCCATCTAGATCAATTAGAGACTCAGAAGCAGTGGAGGTCCCTGCCCGGAGGTGGCCCTACGGGAGGAGTAGCTCCAGGGCATTTGCCGGGCTTAGAAACAGAGGTTAGCAAGGGAGACAGGGAGACCGTGGTGAAGGTGAGGGCAAGGGTGGGGCTTGGTGGCTCCGGTGGGGGCTGAGCCCTCTGCTGGCCTCTCTTCTCCTTTAAAAAGTCTTCTGTGGTCAACTGACTCCTGTGTCTGGCGGTGGGATGAGACTGCACAGTTGATGGTAGGTGAGTTTAAAGTCTTAATCTATGCATTCAGAGAAATATTTTTATATGCTTTGTGTAATTTATAACAAGGACTTTTTTTTTAGCTTTGTTAACTGTGAATTCACCCCTCCTCCACTGCATATTTAAAGCATGTGTTCACACTATGTGTAAACATTCACTGAAGACTTTATTCCTTGTGCATTGCCGACTGTTCATAACAAGTATCATTAAAATAAAATATTAACAGACTGAGCCCATATCCTTTAATTTTGGCTCCTAAGCAGTACTGCCCTTCTAACCTTGGTGGGGGGTACAGTTTTCAGATTCCTGGATAGCCCAAGGGACACAGTGCTCTGGAGGAACAAATAGAAGGGACCGTTGCCCCCACCTGAGGCACCTCTGTCCTGTGGCTGCTGGGTTCTCAGGCCCTGTCACTTGGCACCTGGAGACAGATATGTTGTGCAGTGCCTTTTCTCCTGGCTCACAGCAGTCAGCTTCATTTCCCCAGAGGAGCTGAGCCAGCTAGATGGAGGTCATCCTCTATTAACCACAGTTTTTGATTATCCTATTTACTTTATGCAACTGAGCCTTTCCTTTGGGCTGTCAGCACCTGTCAGGGCCTCCATGAGCTCAGAAGCAAACTCCCGAGGCAGAAGAGGAAATACATACAGCCTTGCACCTTCAGATCTTCAGCCGAGCACGATGCCGAATGAATCTGTGTTTCTGTTGGTTTAGGGCGGCCGGAGCCTCACAAAGCAGACGTCATGCCAAATTGGCCTAATAAATCAGGGAGCACAGCAGAGACCTTTTCTTAGCACCAAGGAGAAGCAGAATAATTTGGGCATTTGTGCTTTCATACTCGCTTTATCACAAGGATGGAAGTCTTCTTCCATACACTCATAAACATCCTGGGCAGAAACAGGCTGCCAAAAAAAAAAATGTGCTTAACCTTTAACAAATGGTCCTGCAGCACAGGCTGACCCAATACGTGGAGGAAAACCAGATCAAAGGAGCCATCTCTGCACCTACCACAAACCATTTAGGGAAGAAAGACAAATCATCCTCTCCCACTAGTCACATCACATGGAGCAGAAAGGTCAAGGAAGTGAGAGAGTCAGAGATCAGAAAACTTCTAAGGTAACAAAGAGGAGAGATCCATCCCAAATATAAGGCCTTGTGCCAGATGGACTCTGACCTGCAGAAAATGAGCATTGTTTTGGCTTGCTCAACAAGAAATTTAATTAACCCCCTCAAGATGTGTTTAACAGCCTGGACTTTCAGGGTGGGGGGTGGCCCCTGGGCCCCTCTTTGTTCCCACATAGAGCTTTGGCCAGACTGAGAAAGATGAATGGCTCAGAGGCCTCACTGGTGGTGGGGACCTGTCTGGAATAGACTTCTAAAGAAGCAAGGAAAGGAAGCTCATCTCAGCCACTGGAGAAGCAGGCGTGGAGGTCTGAGGGACGACATAAACTGTGAAGGTGCTCACAGCAGCCTTCCCAGGAGGCCTCGAATCAGATTTCAAGGGCTTTATTTCTCGCCTTTTTACAGTATCTGCACAGCAGAGCAGGAAGTACTGGCAATTACCCAGTGAATTTTGGCTGTGAAGACAATTTTTCTAGCCAAAAGCTCTCGAGTCTGAAGTTTTCAGATAATTCCAGCCATGTGGATGTGTATAAAGTCCCCTTCCACCCCTGCCTCCCCCAAAGGTCCTAACCCCAAACCTTGTGAACAGGCAGAGAGAGGCTACGTCGGGCTATATGTATTGTTGACCACATAGCTTGATTTCATCAGTGCCCCGTTTTTAAAGGATTCAGGCCAGCACCCCAGAGTACAGGACTCTGTTCCTGAGGACGGCCTGACCTGGCAGTCTGCTGTTCCAGGAGGAAAAAGCTTTATTTAAAAAAAAACAAAACCCCAACGACTTCAGAGTAGAAAATATGAAAAATCATACAGAGTAGAAAGGTCACTCCATGAAATGATTGAAAACAGCACAGTGTGGAAATAACACTAACTTGGGAATCAGGAGACCCAGGCAGCAGTCTGGGCTCTGCCTTAAACTAGCTGTGCCTGAAGGCAAAAATCCAACAAATGTCCCGGCATCTGTCATCAGGTCCATCCTGCAGATGTGCTTGGTGTCGTCCTCTTTCCTGAGGATGGGTGGCTAGGAGGAAGTCCCAAGAATGTATTTTAGGCAAGTCCAGCGTCTCTGGCCATCCCGTAGAAGATGCCTCTGGCTGCAATGAGGTTGGCTGGAGAATCAAATTCAGCTATCATCCCTTTGTCCAGGACAAGGACCCTAGCCAAAGAAAAGAAGTGGTCAGATTTCCATCAACCTAGACCTGGCCTTCTAGTCCACCCCTCCCTTCTGGGTACTGACTGCTCAGACCCAGCGGTGACATGCCAACCCTCCTACTTCAGGCGACCCACCCAATACAGCCGCTTTGCCACATGTGCACGCTTACAAGGCTGGTTATTTTAGCTGTTCCGTTTGCTCTCCTGGCAGATGAGGCGGTTTCTGGGATCAAACACAAGGTTCCTATTCATCTCTGCTAGTCGGGGCTCTGAAAACCTTTCCTAATGAGCCCTTCCCTCACCGGGGTCACAGGACTGTGCCCAGGGAGCCACGGTCCTGTGCGCTGGGCCCTGTGCGCTTCCATCTGCTTTGTGCCAACTCACAAAGGCACACGGCAGGAAAGCAGGCTGCTGGGAGGCCTGACACTGGAATCTGGGACTTTGGCTGCAAATCTGGTTGCTGCTGATGGGTGGATCTACACACACACACACACACACACACACACACACACACACACACACACACGGTCAGGCCCGGGCCTGGGATTCGAATCCCCTGCCAATTAAGCACAGAGTGCCCCTGGGGCAGAGTCACTAGCCTGGCTCCCAGGGTAAGGCAGGAGCGGAAAGGGCTCTCCCGTGCCAGGGGAGATGCCCTTTTGATGGGAGGAGGTGGCCGTACTCTGTTTCCTTACCTCCAGGGCTCCTGGGAACATGTCCTGGGGAGGTGTGTGTCTCTGCACATCTCTGCCTGGCCACTGCCCAAACTGGAGCCCAGAAGATGGCCTCTCCTCCCTTCAGTGGCTTCTCACTGTTCTTAGGGTAAGGACTGGCTGCTTTACCACAGTCCTCAAAGTGCAGCATAGTAGGGCCTGTCCCTCTCTCTCTCCTCATTTTGGTTCTACTGCCCCCTTCATCCTTTGCACTCCAGTCTCAAGTGCCCTCCTACCTCAGGGCCTTTGCATGTGTTGCATCCTTTGCCTGAAATTTGCATCTGTATCCCATTTCCTCACCCACTCGCCAGCTCTTATTCGTCCTTTAGGGCCTGGCTGGTACTTCCTTTTCTTAGGAGAGATAGTGTCCCGCTGCCCAGTGTGGACTGGCTTCCTCTGGTCTACACACATGGACCCCTGCTTCCTTCCTGCAGGCTCTACTAATACGTCCAATAGCATGATGATCTGATTAATTTCCACTGGTCCCACTAGAATGAACGAACTCCCAACCCCCAAGGTTGGTTTGAGCCTTCTACCCTCGGGGCTGCTGGTGGACATCATGTTCAGTCAGCCTGGGAAATGATCCTCTCAGCCCATCCTTGTCCCTTTTCTGGACACAGGGCCTAGCACCTCCTGTCCACCCTCTCTTGTCTAGTGGGGTGCTAGGGTAGAGCTGGAACAGACAGATGGCAGCATCGGGCATTCTCAGCGTGGTTCCCAAGTCCCTGGGGGCTGCATGGGGACACTTCTAAGACAGGGGCAAGGTCTCCCCCATTGCCCTGTCCATGGCATCCTCCCCATGTCCCCAGGCCTGTAGGTGTTTATTTTGTGAATGATGGCCTGATGAGATGTGCTCCTGCCACACTCCTTCAACAGATTGGCTGCAACTTCCTCCTCATCACTCCTTTGAGCTCCCACGTCCCTGAAGGGGCCAGTCTGCCAGGCCAGCACCAGGTCACTTCCTTGACGCTTTGGAGCCACCCAGGCCCTCACCTGTCCTCCGGCACCACACCTTAACATTGGACACAATGAGGGAATCGGTCCCAGATTTTCCTTTGGGCTGAGTGGCCGCCTCCCTAGGGAAGGCATAAGATCTCAAGGGCAAGGCCCCTTCCCTAATCCTTAGATGAAGAACTGGTGCCAGAGAGCATTACAGAAAGGGGCTGGGGAGCAAACAAACACTTCCCAGGATCACCTGCACTCGAAACACTTCATTTCATTGACTCTTTACAACCACCCCAAGAGAGGTTCGGCACATTGGCCGAGGTCACATGGCAGCCAGCGGCTGCGGGGCCTGGGACTCAGCCCTCTGCTCTCTCACCTCAGAGCACTGCTCCACATGGTGCGATCAGGGTCCAGCCCACCAAGGCAGGGACCTGAGCATCACACACTTCTTTCAGTGGCTTCCTCATCTATACACCCAGCCCAGACTGTGAGAGCGAGGTACAAACGAAGGGATGGCCGTGTGGGTGCTCTAAGCATCAGTGCTCAGGGAGTGAGTGTTTTGTCACAAAGGACCCAGTTCCACGTCTCAGCATTCACAGAAGGCTGGAGGGAGGTGGCCAGGGCACAATTCACAAGCCCCAGTGTGCCCCTTCCCTACATGCTGGTGACCTGCAAGTGTCACCTTGTGTCTCAGAAAATGTCACTGTGCCCCCCGTGTGCAAATGACTCCACTCTCTCCTACCCGTTAGCCATAACTTGGGAAGTCCTGCTCTGCCCCCCATGCCCTAGACAATCCCACGAGCTCTCCTGTGTCCGGATCACCTTAACCTGCCTGCCCCTTCCTGGTGGCCTAGATAGCCCCACCAGACCCCCCGCTGGTGGGGTCTGGTGCCCCACCTGGTGTAGTCCATGATGGTGTTGAGCCGGTGTGCGATGGTCAGCACCGTGCAGCTCTCGAACTGGGTGCGGATGGTGGCCTGGATGAAGTCGTCAGTCTCCAGGTCGATGGCTGCCGTGGCCTCGTCTAAAACCAGGATTCGGCTCTTGCGGAGCAGGGCTCGGGCCAGGCATACGAGCTGGCGCTGGCCCACGCTGGAAGGGGGAAGGCAGGCATCTCGAGCTGGGTACCCCCACTTGCCCCCACCCCCACCCCAGGCCTCGCTCCCTGGACTGCTTCTGTCTCCATGCCTTCCCAATGGCCCCAGACTGGCTCTCTAACTGCTCCCATTTCTGCCTCAACTCAGTCCTCCCAGAACATGGAGTCATCGATGTCTGGACCCCACCGGATGATGAGGGTCTTGG